AGAATCCATTAAACTCTGCCTCCAACCTAAGTATTGTGATGTTGTCCTATCCTGCTCTGGACGTTGCCAAGTTACCCCTGGTGAATGGGCCGTTCTGAGCTTGAATCTCCTTGCTGTGATCTTCAGTTCTGTTAGCTGACGGCGGAAGTGTCTGTGTGCCTGCCAGACCCATGGCCTTTGCCCTCTTCCTGTTGCCAGAGCCCTTCTGCAGTGAGTTCTCAGAGTGACTTCATGGATGTTTAACATCTGCAGAGCTGTGAGTTCGTAAACACCTTCACTCTCGCCTGCTTTGAATTGTGATGACCATCTCTTAGTTGTATAAATAGATACTCAAGGGCCGGAAGAGGCAGGTCATGGGAACCTGAAGCCATTACAGGAAAGTGTAGGCAAAGTCAAAGTAGGGGCGGAGAGCAATCCCAAGACATAGCCAGTTTGGAATCACCTTTTCTAGCTTATAAAGGAGTAACAGTGGGAATCAGTGTTGTGGTACAGTTAGTTAAGCTGCTGCTTGCAATGTCATCATCCTATATCAGGTCCACTTCCAATCAACTCCTTGCTAATGCACCTGGGAAGGCAACATGATGATCCAAGGTCTCTGCTTACCATGTGAGAGACCCATATAGCGTTCTGAGCTCCTGGCTTCAGCCTGTCTCAGTCGTTGCTTTTGCCGCATTTAGGGAGTAAATCAATAGCAGGGACATCTGTGGCTCTCTGTCATTCTGCCTTTCAAATAAATAAATAAATAAATACCCCACCACTTTTTTTTTTTTAAGTGGGGAGAGTGGGGGCCAGTACTGTGGCTCAATAGGCAAATCCTCTACCTTCAAGTGTCAGCATCCCCTGTGAGCTCTGATTCGTGTCCTGGCTGCTCCACTTCCCATCCAGCTCTCTGTGGCCTGGAAAAGCAGTGGAGGATGGCCTTGGGAGCCTGCACAAGCTGAAAGAGGCTCTACCATTCTCCCCACTTAAAAAAAAGTGGTGGGGTATTTATTTATTTATTTGAAAAGCAGAATGACAGAGAGCCACAGATGTCCCTGCCATTGATTTACTCCCTAGATGCGGCAATCTGAAACCTGGCTTCAGATTGGCTCATTTCTGGTCATTGTGGCTATTTGGGGAGTGAATCAGCAGATAGATTTTTTTTTGAAGAATTTATTTATTTATTTTATTGGAAAGGCAGATACACAGATAGGAGGAGAGACTGAGAGAAAGATCTTCTGTTTGATGGTTCATTCCCCAAGTGACCGCAATGGCTGGTGCTATGCTGATCCGAAGCCGGGAGCCAGGAACTTCTTCTGGGCCTCCCATGTGGGTGCAGGGTCCCAAGGCTTAGAGCAGTCCTCAACTGCTGTCCCAGGCCATAAACAGGGAGCTGAATGGGAAGAAGGGCTGCTGGGATTAGAACTGGTGGCCCATATGGGATCCTGGTGCATTCAAGGCAAGGATGTTAGCTGCTAGGCTATCACGCTGGGCCCAGAAGATTTTTATCTCTGTCTTTTCTTCTCTCTGTAAATCTCTCTTCTAAATTAAATAAATACATTTTTTTTAAAAAAGGAAAAAAGTGAGGAGGAGTAAGTGTTCAGCAACCTGAAAATGAACCCTAATGTACAAGTCTGAGATCCTTGGATGGGGAAGGAAGCTAATCATCAATGGGTTAGAGACATGTGGGCCATTTATTATTAATTTGGAGACCAAGAGAGACAACTCCCATTTGCTGGCAAACCCTGCCAGATGTCCACAACACAGCAGAATACGAGCTGGGGACTCTGTGTATGTTTCCTGTGTGAGTGACAGAGACCCAGCTATTTTAGCCATCACTGCTGCCTCCCTTAGTTGCAAGAGCCAGAATCTGGAATGGAAAGCAAAGTGGGGATTCATACCCAGGGACTCTGATAGGAAATGGCAGTGCCCCAAGCATCTTAACTACTGCACCAAATGCCAGCTCCCTCACGTGTTACTTGTCCGCATGTGACTTTAGGTGATAGAAAATTCAGGATGCATGTCAAAGTATAATAAATCTGACATTGAAATTTTTGTTGGCATCACAGGCTGTAAAAAAGCCAATAGGGCCTTTATTCACCTGATTTGGATAAACCAAAGGAAGAAATTTTACTTCTCTAATTAGTGAAAGGCAACAATGCTAGGCAATGGAAAGATGTAGAAAAGACTGGAAATGACAGACCGGTCCAAATGCTAGCAAGACTCCTTCTATCCTTCCCTAAACGAGGATGATGTAACTTTAAGGCTTTAAAGCCACATTTTCATCACATTCATTTCCTATGACTCTAATCAAATGGAATATAAAAATAATGCACTCTCCTGTGATCGTCAATGTTGCAGTTCATAGCTCTGTCTCCACGTGCATTGTCTCCTACTAGGAAGTTAAAATGCATTAAGGCAGACACCCCGAGGTTGGGGGCGGGGCTGTAATGGCATCCAGAGATGGACCTGGCTGGCCAGATTGAGTATAATGAGGTGGATGCCCCGTCTAGTCTAGGTCCATCTGGTTTTAGTTAATGGTGCAAGTGACACTGCAGGAAAAATAGGAACTGCCCCTGGTGGTTGTGGACCACTCTGGAGGCCACTGCTGGGCCTCCCAGAGGGACTCCTACACCAGTTTGCTTGGTTGCTATAACAAAGTCACACACACACACACACACACACACACACACACACACACACACGGCACAGCTTTTAGACAGCAGAAATGTCTGGGAAGCCAGAGTCATGAGATCAGGTGCCAGAATGGGCACGCCCCAGGAGGGCTATGCTCTGGGCTGCAGCCTGCCAGCTTCTCAGATCCTCAAACGTACAAGGAATGCTAAGGGAGGTCATTCTGCCTTGAAAATTTGATTTGTTTATCTGAGGAACAGAGGGAGTCAAACACAAACAGAAACAGCTTCCACCCATTGGTTCCTTTCCTCAACGGCTGGAGTTAAGCCAGGCTGAGGTGTCTCCTGTGGTGCCTGTCACATCACTGCTGCCTCCTAGGGGCTGAATCTACAGGAAGCTGGACTCCAACACAGGAACTCTCTCATAGGGTTTTTTTTTTTTTCTAATATAATTTTATGACACAGTTTCATAGGCTCTGGGATTCCTCCAGCCCCTCCCCAAACTCTCCCCCTACATATTGAATTCCTCCATATTGTTATAGTAGTGCCGTTCATAACTAGTCATGATTCCTTCATTGTGGGCATGGACCATGTGGAGAGTCCAGCATCTTATTGTCAAGATAAATTCAATAGTTTCATTGGGAGACCATCCTTGGTCTGAAAGTTAAGCTGGCAGAATATCATCCTCTCCAGTGAGATGCCACTACAAAACTTCAACAACAGGAAGAAACATTGAAATTAACAACATCATAAAGTTAATTAGCATGGTATTGAGTGACCAATATGTTAGAAAATGCAAGATCTTTTTTTTTTTTTTAAATTGCTGTTAAAGATTAGGATTTTTTTTTTAAAGATTTATTTTATTTTTATTGGAAAGGCGGATATACAGAGAGGAGAGACAGAGAGGAAGATCTTCCGTCTGATGATTCACTCCCCAAGTGAGCACAACGGCCGATACTATGCCTATCCAAAGCCAGGAGACTTCCGGGTCTCCCACGCGGACGCAGGGTCCCAAAGCTTTGGGCCGTCCTCGACTGCCTTTCTGGGCCACAGGCAGTGAGCTGGATGGGAAGCGGGGCTGCCGGGATTAGAAACGGTGCCCAAATGTGATCCTGGGCGTGCAAGGTGAGGACCTTAACCACTGCACCATCGTGCCGGGCCCGAAAATGCAAGTTCTTAACCACATCCTGTAACTACTTCCTTGACAAGGTTTGTTTGTTTGTTTTAAAGATTTATTTTTGTTGGAAAGGCAGATTTAGAGAGAAGGAGAGACAGAGAAAGATCTTCCATCCACTGGTTCATTCCCCAAATGATCACAATGGCCAGGGCTGAACCAATCTGAAGTCAGGAGCTTCTTGTAAATGTCCCATGCAAGTGCAGGATCCCAAGGGTTTTGGCCGTGCTCCACTGCCTTTCCAAGCCACAAGCAGGGAGCTGGATGGGAAGTGGAGCAGGTGGAACATAAACCAGTGCCGATATAGGATCCTGGTGCTTGAAGAGGAGGATTAACCAATGGTGGTATTGTGCTGGGCAAGGGTACAGGTATTTTTTACTGCCATTGGCGTCCTTGGGCCTCTTCTTTATAAGGCAATGGAACTTGTGAATCTGTATTCAAGAGGGCTCCTATAACCCAAACACCTCCCAAAGCCAAACCTTCAGTCACACAGATAGGGCTTAAATTTGTATGTCTGCGTGTGTGTGTGTGTGTGTGTGTGTGTGTGTGTGTGTGTGTGTGTGTGTGTTGGCGGAGGCACAAACTGCCCAGAACACTCTTTAAGAAAGTACTGGGGTGGGTCATCAAGTTCTGGGGAAATTGGGAACTGTAGGAAAGTGGTGTGTCCCAGGAGAGGGGGTCCCACTTCTCCAGCACAGACCTCTGTGGAGAAGTCTGTGAGGGTCGTGTCTTCCTCTCCTACTAGGAAGTTAAAATGCATTAAGGCAGACACCCTGAGGTTGGGGGCGGGGCTGTAATGGCATCCAGAGATGGACCTGGCTGGCCAGATTGAGTATAATGAGGTGGATGCCCCGTCTAGGCAAGGTCAGCCTGAGTCTGGGATCAGATGCAGGTTGACGTCCTACTGATGTCCCTCCCCGCCAGGTATGTCAGCAACTGAGGCTGCCTTGGGTCCTGCAGTTATAGTTCCCAGTGTGAAGATGCTGTTGAGCTTCAGCATACCAACACCCTCACAACCAAGCAGGTATGTTAGATAGCAATCTCTTTGCTGGGGTTGTGGCCGCATATATAGCTCATTTCTATCAGAGGCAGGTGGAGGGAGAGAAGGAGCAAGTGGAAGTTCTGCCACCTGCTGCGAACTTTAGCCACGCCTTTAAAATCAGAGCAATCCTCCCAGGAGAAAGGAGATTGGATGCAGGCTCAGGTTGTGGGAGATGGAGTTCCAACTGCCCGAATTGCCATTGTCTCAGATCTTCTCTTTCCTGGATTCATTCAGCTTGCTCCAGGCTGCCCAAGTGAACAAGGTCAAGGCTCTTCAGCAGCCCTCCACCCATCCCACCACTCTCTGAGCTGGCTGGTTGGTTCCCTGTCCACACCCTACCACCTTGTCAGTTCTTCCCAGGGTTCCTTCCACCCCTCACCCTCGGCCACGGGGTCCAGGCGTCCCCATGCAGCCTTGCCTTCATTCCCACAGGTCCCCTGGCTCTCTGAGGGTTCAGGGGTCAGTGCTGCTTTCATCAGTTTGAACTCCAACTTTTTGCAGAAGTGCAGAGTGGGACACTGAAGATTGGGAGTCAGCATCATTTCCTCAGAGAGCCCCAAGTTCTGTTGATGAGACAGGAGGATGCAAAGAAGCTGTTGTGCTGTGGTGGTTCACAGCCCTAGGAAGGCAGCTCTAGGAAAGCAGCACTTGCTCCTCTGCCCCCTCCCAGGGGCGCCTGTGTCAGCAATCATGGCTCCTCACCGTTCCTCACCCCATGCCGGGAGGGCTTGGAGTGCTGCTGGGGTTGTTACCCATGAACCTGGGTAGGGCAAATCCCTGAACAGCCCATGGTAGAGGCAAGGCCAGCATCCCAGTCCTGATAGCCTTCTTGTCTCACTTTCTCTCCCACAGCAATGGCGAACAGTTGCAAACAGTAATCAGCTGTGGAAGTGAGTAAGGGAGGAGGGGGGAGGTGGGAAATCGGTACAGGAAACTTACTGACTCCTGTGCTGGGTTAGGGTGAGGCAGAACTTCCTGCAGAGTTGCAGCAGCAGCTGGGAGCAGAAGGGTTTTGGTTAGGGGCAAGTGTCGCAGCCTGACGGGATGACAACTGTTTGCAGAAGACTGTATGTGTGGAGGTGGCCCGATAGCAAGCTAAGTTGTGGGTGTGACGGCCTGGTGAAGGAATGGAAGAAGTCCTACCTGAGGATGACCAGGCATGAGCGACAGATGACATTGGCCAAGGCAGACGACTTCAGTTATAAAGAAGCATCTGAGGAAGAGGGTATGTGACTGGAGGCCTCGTGGGATGTGGTGAGCCTGTTTTCTGAAGTCTGTTAAGCTTCTGATCCCATATGCAGTTTTGGGCCCTCATTCCAGGAAGGAGAAAGGGAGTTGAAGTGGAATGGGACTGGGTGGCTGTGACGCTCTCCCTGCCACCTCTGTGCCCCCTACACTTGGTACTAAAGGGAGAGAAGCCAGAGTGGTCTTTCTTTATTGGCTTTTTTTTTTTTTTAAGATTTTTTTAAATTTGAAAGGCAGGGACAGAGCTTTCATCCACTGATTCATTCCCCAAATGGCAGCAATGTCCAGGACTGGGCCAGGAGCCTGGAATTCCAACCGAATCTTCCCTGTGGGTACAGTGACCAAGCATTCAGACTGTCCTCTGCGGCTTTGCCAGGTGAATCAATAGGGAGCTGGATTGGAAGTGAAGCAGCTGGAGCTAGAACTAATGCCATTATAAGCAGTGGCTTAACCTGCAGCTTTCCAACACTGATGCCTGAGGGCATTTAAAAAATATGTATTTCATATTATGGAACTGAAAGTAAAGAGGAAAGATGAGGCCAATTCCACCCTCCCCAAAACCCCCCCCCCCAAAAAACAAAAACAAAAAAAGCAAGCCCATCTGCAATGGGAACCATTTCCTGCTTCTGAAGTCTACCTTCCCCTCACTAGTTCCCCAGACCCTCTTTGGAGGGCATAGAAGACTTTAAAAAGCCTGTTTCTTTTGGATTTGTCAAATACTGCCAGCCTGACGTCCTCTGTGTATCCCTCCAGGGACGATGGGGCTTACAGCTTATGTGTGGAAGAACGACCCCGAAATCGTTGGTATGACTCCTGTCATCTGCTCCGTGTCTTCGATAAAGAGGCTGTATGCCTGGGACGTCCAAACTGTGAGTCTGGTCTGTGAGCAGTGAAAGCAGCACCAGCCAGCTTCCACCCTGTGGCTGAGCACAATGCTGCAGGATTGGAACTGGGTCAGAATGTTCCACATCTAACTCAGAATCTGTCTCTTAATCCATAGATGCTCACACTGTTCTTGTTTTAGTAGGATTCATTGTTTATATAAAAGTTGTATAAGAGGTTTTTTTTTTAATTTTTAAATTTTTTGTTGCAAAGTCAGATATACAGAGAGGAGGAGGAAGAGAGAGAGAAAGATCTTCTGTCCGATGATTCACTCCCCAGATGACTGCAATGTCCAGAGCTGAGCTGAGCTGAAGCCAGGAGCCAGGCGCTTCTTCCAGGTCTCCCATATGGGTGCAGGATTCCAAGGCTATGGGCCATCCTCAACTGCTTTCCCAGACCACAATTAGGAAGCTTGATGGGAGATGGGACCACCAGGATTAGAACCTGCACCCATGTGGGATCCCAGCATGTGCAAAGTGAGGGCTTTGGCTACTAGGCTACTGCGCCAGCCCTGAGTGTTTTTTTTTTTTTTCTATTCATAACATGAGGTATCTCTGGGACACAAATTATATTTTGGTAAGGCACACCTTCATTGTCCATCACTGCCTCTGGGTCAGTTGATGTCTGCCATCCCTCTGAGGGCCATAAGGAGCGGCTGAGGATAAGTATATACCATGCAAGGAGCACTGGCATGGTGTTGCAGGATCCCAATGTGCGTCCCAAACTATTGTTGCTGTCTTTTGAATTCTCTCCCTCCTGATACCATTGCATTCTGATTCTCATTCATTTCTATAAAATGAATTGTAATATAAGGGTTTCTCTTGGGTAACTTGCTCTAGGGGAAACGTGTTGCCCTGTCCATGAGGCCCCCTATGCAGCCTGATGGACAGGTGGCAGAGAATTCTGCCTTCCAGCAGGTGGCCAGCAGCCAGCCCCCACCTGGCGGTCATGAGATACTAAGTGTGTATTGCTTTAAGCCACCATTGGTTTGTCATGTAGTGAATGTAACTAATAGACTTTTTAGTACTGGCAAGTGTAGTGTTATTACCAAAACCTAACCTATAGAGGAAGCTTTGAAACTGGGTAATGGACAGGAGCTGGACTGATTCCAAGGACAGTGTTGAGCTTTAAAGCAGCTCGTGGTGAAATTCGAAAGGGCTGAATCATGAGGACTTCAAGGAAAGTATGGGGAATGTTATTGGACCTTGGATGAAAGCAGGATTGATGTTGAGTAACTCTGTGGCCCAGCTGAACATTATTGTGTGATCCTGTTAAGGAGGCGGAATGCTTACTGCCGGCTGCCTCTTGCTGCTCATTGGAAACAGAAAGCAGAGAAAAGACCCCTGAGCCAAATAGCCAGGATTTGCTGGCTATAAAAACCCCAGCCTCTCCAATAACAAAGGGTACTACAACTTATGAGTTCTAAGTGCCATTTTTTAAAATATTTATTTTATTTATTTTTTATTGCAAAATCAGATATACAGAGTGGAGGAGAGACAGAGAGAAAGAGCTTTCGTTTGATTATTCACTCCCCAAGTGACTGCAATGGCCGGAGCTATGCTGATCTAAAGCCAGGAGCCAGGAACTTCATCCAGGTCTCCCACGTGTGCAGGGTCCCAAGGCTTTGGGCTGTCTCAACTGCTTTCTCAGGCCACAAGCAGGGAGCTGGATGGGAAGTGAGGCTACTGGGATTAGTACTTGCATCCACATGGGATCCTGGCATGTTTAAGGCGAGGCCTATAGCTGCTAGGCCACCATACTGGGCCTTCTAAGTGCCATTTAAAAAAAAATTACTTTTATTGGAAAGTCAGATTTACAGAAAGGAGATGAGACAGAGAGGAAGATCTTCTATCTGCTGGTTTATTCTCTAAGTGGCTGCAATGACCAGAGCTGAGCTGATCTGAAGCCAGGAGCTTCTGGGTCTCCAACATGAATGCAGGGTCCCAAGTTTTTGGGTTGTCCTTGATTGCTTTGCCAGGCCACAAGTAGGCAGCTGGAAGGGAAGTAGAGCAGCTGGGATATGAACCAGTGCCCATATGGGCTCCCAGCACATGCAAAGTGAGGAAGTCTTTAGCCGCTAGGCTACTGCGTCAGGCCCATATTTAAGTTCTTGATATCAAAATGAAACCAAAGGGGCAGCTGTGAACTTCTCTGAACTGAAGGAAGCGCTCATGAGTGCCTCCTGGGCCTTGTGCAGCCAAGGAGGACGACCACTGAGAAGCGGCAGCCTTCATCCCAGTACTCATAGAAGTCCAGGACATAAAAGAAAGACGCTTGTGACCGTGTCACCTGTGCAGTAGCATGGACTCTAGTGACGTTCTTAGGAGACGAAAAAGGTTTTAAAAGAAAACGAGAAGGTAAGAACATGACCAGTTTGGATTTAAAGGGAATGAAGCCTTGTAAAAGAAACAGAAGCCTTTGGCGTGTATATTTATATATATATATTTATATTTTATTTATTTATATATTTATATTTATAAAATTATATATGTATATATTTTAATTTGAAAGATTTAGAGAGGAGGAGAGACCGAGATCTTCGATCTGCTGGTTGATTCCCAAATGTCTGTAAGTTAAAAAAAAAAAAAAATAATAATAAAAATAAATGGGCCCGGCGCGGTGGCGCAAGTGGATAGGGTCCTCGCCTTGCACGCCCGGGATCCCATATGGGTGCCGGTTCTAATCCCGGCAGCCCCGCTTCCCTTCCAGCTCCCTGCCTGTGGCCTGGGAAAGCAGTCGAGGACAGCCCAAAGCTTTGGGACCCTGCACCCACGTGGGAGACCCGGAAGAGGCTCCTGGCTTCGGATCGGCATAGTATCGGCCCGTTGCGCTCACTTGGGGAGTGAATCATCGGACGGAAGATCTTCCTCTCTCTCTCTCCTCTCTGTATATCCGCCTTTCCAATAAAAAAAAAATAATAATAAAAAAATGTCTGTAAGTGCCAAAGCTGTGCTGGTCCTAAGGCGAGAGTCAGGAGCTTCTTCCAGGTCCTCTATGTGGGTGCACTTGGACAGTCCTCCTTCACTTTTCTAGGCCATTAGCAGGGAGCTGGTTGGAAAGTGGAGCAACAGGACTTGAACCAATGCCCATATGGGATATTGGTGCCATAGGTGGAGGTTTAATCTAATAGGCCAGGGCCCTGGTCCGAGGTCTCAAAACTTTTGCATTCCGGGAGCAGAGGACAAAAACTACTCAGCTGCACAAATGGGCTTGCTATATGTGGGAAGTGAAGGAAGACCTGAGGCATAGGATCAAGAAACTGGAGAGTGGAGCTAGCAGCTTTCTTAGACCTTGAATCCTAATCACCAAGCCTCTAGGATTTTTCTGGATTTCAAAGTTTCAGTGTAGCAGTGATTTATGGGTTCTTCTTGCCTTCTCTTTTTGAGTGACAATGGTTATCCTACCTATGCCTTACCCTTGTATTCAAGGGACTTAGACGACAGATGACTTGTATTATTTCAAAGGTTTTGACATCAAGATGAATCTAAAGAGCCTCCTGAATATCTGAACCCCATTAAACAATGAGAGCGTGGATTTTTTGATGATGCTGAAATAGTAGGAGCCATTTGGGGATCCTGGGAGATGGACAGTGTATTTTCACATGAGGAGGAAGTGAGTCCTTAGGGGTGGCAGGGCAGTCTGGCAGCCAGTCTCTAAGATGATCTCAATATCCTTGTCCTATAACGTTTATGATCTTGTGTAGTTCACTACACAAGATAGGGCTGATCTATGTAACTGGTAGGATGCTGTAGAAATGAGTGTGCTAACTCCGAAGCTATGTAATAGAAGAGATTTCCATCTTGGGTCATTGGCTGTTAGAGAAGTCCAGCCACAATGTGAAGAGGACACTTCAAGACTTCCAGAGATCCCTGTGTAGTAAGGTACTAAGGACACCTGCTAAGTGCCAGCACTAACTTACCAACTCTATGGAAAGTGAGATTTCAGTTTCAGAACTTCCCAGGTACATTGTACCTGATAAAGATGGTAACTCTTTCTTTTAAGATTTATATATTGGGCCCGGTGCAATAGCCTAACAGCTCAAGTCCTCACCTTGAACACACCAGGATTCCATATAGGTGCCTGTTTTAATCCCCGCAGTCCCACTTCCCATCCAGCTCCCTGCTTGTGACCTGGGAAAGCAGTTGAAGGCAGCCCAAAGCCTTGGTACCCTGTACCTGCATGGGAGACCTGGAAGAGGTTCCTGGCTCCTGGCTTCAGATTGGCACAGCTCCAGCCTTGAGGGCACTTAGAGAGTGAATCATCGGATGGAAAATCTTCCTCTCTCTCTCTTCCTCTCTATTTATGACTTTGTAATAAAAATAAATGAATCTTTAAAATATGTTGTTTAAAAAATTTACTTTTACTGGCAAGTCATATACAGAGAGGAGAGATAGAAAGATCTTCCATCGACTTATTCACTCCCCAAGTGGCCAGAATGGCCAGAGCTGCGCCAGTCTGGAGCCAGGAACCTCTTCCAGGTCTCCCACGCGGGTGCCTGGTCCCAAGGGTTTGGGCCAACCTCCACTGCTTTCCCAGGCCACAAGCAGGGAGCTGGTTGGGAAATGGAGCCGCTGGCATTAGAACTGGCACCCATATGGGATCCTGGCACATGCAAGGCGAAGACTCCAGCCACTAGACTACCATGCTGGGCCCTGTGATCACTTTTTATGTCCATGATGTTAGGGGTTACTGGCTGTCAGTGTGATGCATTATTTTCTTGGTCATACCCTACAAACCATGGACATGTTTAAAATGTCCACATCCTTTTTTTCAGATGTGAGAATGGATCTGATTTGGAAGAGGCTTGCAGACAATGCTTGGGCAGATCAGAAGCACGACAGGGGTCCGGAGAGTTGCTTGATGAAACTCATGTCCGTCTTGTTTTCCAGGGCGACTTTAGGTGGCTTAGTCCAGCACTGTCGGGCCGTATTACACATCTCAAGACCATTCCTGTCATGCATATCGCAGTCACTATGGATACAAGCAGAGCTGTCAAAGTGTGGGATTGTGTATGTGATGATGCTGTGAGCACATTTGTCATGCCTTACAAGTGCTATTCCCTGGATGCCTTCATTTGCGTGGAAGGCGCAGTTGTGACAGTAAGTGAGACCATGCATCTAGAGGGGAATTTGTAACATACGTTTTGGTTGTTTCCAGAGGCATCAGGATCCAGTTACTGTCACCTTACAGTCGGCCTAGAGTCCGCTAGCCTCCACATTCCCTGAAAATCGGTCACAACATACTAATGACCATTGACCATAGACACCTCTACATTGTCTTGGCCTTCAGTCTACCTCATGCACATTATTCAGCCCTCTTTCTTAAAAAAGAAGGTTCCCAAAATATTTTATAGCTATGTCTTTTAAAATTTTTTTCCTGGAGATTTCTTTTAAGATTTATTTATTTTTATTACAAAGTCAGATATACAGAAAGGAGGAGAGACAGAGAGGCAGATCTGTCCAATGATTCACTCCCCAAGTAGCTGCAGTGACTAGAGCTGCTCTGATCAAAAGGCAGGAGCCTGGAGCTTCTTTGGTGCAGGATTCAAAGACTTTGGTTCATGCTCAACTGCTTTCCCAGGCCACAAGCAGGGAGATGCATGGGAAATGGGGCTGCCAGGATTAGAAAAGGGGCCATATGGGATCCTGGCACATTCAAGGACAGTACTTTAGCTGCTAGGCCACCATACCAGGCCCTAGAGATTTGTTTTTATTGGAAAGTGAAGTTAACAGAGGAGGGGAGACAGATCTTCCATGCACTGGTTCACTCCCCAAGTGACAGCAATGGCTGCTGTGAAGCAGATTTGAAGCCAGGAGTCCAGAGTTTCTTCTGGGTCTCCCTCTCAAGTACAGGGCCCTAAGGTTTGTTTGTTTGTTTGTTTTTAAGATTTATTTATTTTTATTGGAAAGGCAGATGTACAGAGAGGAGGAGAGACAGAGAGGAACATCTTCTGTCCTATGATTCACTTGCCAAGTGGCCTCAATGGCCCGTGCTGCTCCAATCCTAAGCCAAGAGCCAGGAACTTCTTTCTGGGTCTCCCACGCGGTTGCAGGGTCCCAAGATTTTGGACCGTCCTCTGCTGCTTTCCCAGTCCATAAGCAGGGAGCTGGATGGGAAATGGAGCTGCTGGGATTGGAACTGGTGTCCATATGGGATCCTGGTGCGTTCAAGGCGAGGACCTTAACTGCTATGCTATTGTGCTGGCCCAGGACCCTAAGGTTTTGGGTCATCCTCTACTGTTTTCCCAGGCCACAAGCGGGGAGCTGAATGGGAACTGGAGCAGCTGGAACACAAACCAGTGCCCATGTAGGATCCCACTGTTTGCAAGGCAAGGATTTAGTCACTAGGTCATAACTATATCTTTCATGTGTGTATTATTATACTCTCTAAAACAGGGACAAAGATTTGTTTTTGGAGAGAGATGGAAAGAGAAAAACAGGTTAGAGTTGATGATATGCTATGATGGTATACTAATGAGTCACTTTAAAATGTTTTTAGGGCCTGGTACGGTAGCCCAGTGGTTAATGTCCATGCCTTGAATACACCGGTATCTCTTATGGGCACCAGTTCTTTTTTTTTAATATATATATGTTTTTTAACTGCATTTCATAGGCTCTGATGTTCCCCCATCCAGTCTCAGTTCCCTCCCCCCATTAAGGTGGATTGTTCCACCTTATTACAGTTCAAATCCAGTCTTATTTCTTTCATTGCAAGCATATGCCATGCATGGAGTCCAGTATCTTATTGCCCAGCTGATAGCGGAATTCAGCAGTTTCTTGGGGAGACCAACTCTGGTCTGAAGACATAGCTGGCAGAATATCATTCTACCAGTTCTTTTTTTTTTTTAAGATTTATTTATTTTCATTACAAAGTTAAATATACAGAGAGAAGGAGAGACAGAGAGGAAGATATTCTGTCTGATGATTCACTCCCCAAGTGTGTGCAACGGCTGGTGCTGCACCAATCTGAAGCCAGGAACCAGGAACTTCCTCCAGGTCTCCCATTTGTGTGTAGGGTCCCAAGGCTTTGGACCTTCTTTGACGGCTTTCCCAGGCCACAAGCAGGGAGCTGGATGGCAAGTGGGGCTGTCAGGACTAGAACCAGCACCCATTATGGGATCCTCATGCATTCAAGGTGAGGACTTTAGCCACTAGGCTACCTTGCGGGCCCGGGTACCAGTTCTAAAAATTTTTTAAATATTTATTTACTTTTATTAGAAAGGCAGATTTATGGAGAGGCGAGACAACGATCTTTCATCTTCTGGTGCACTTCAAATGGCCACAGTGGCTGAAGCTGAGCCGATCTGAAGCCAAAAGCCAGGAGCTTCTTCTAGGTCTTCATGCAGGTGCAGAGTCCCACAGCTTTAGCCATCCTTTATTGTTTTCCCAGGCCGTAAGAAGGGAGCTGGATTGGAAGTAGAGCAGCTAGGACATGAACTGGTGTACATATGAGATCCCATTGCTTACAAGGGGAGGACTAACCAGTTGAGCCATCAAGCCAGGCCCTGAATCGCTACTCTTAAGAACTTCTGGGGGGCCTGGCATGGTGGCCTTTCGGCTAAATGCTTCACCTTGCACACACCGGGATCATATACAGGCGCCAGTTCTAATCCTGGCAGCTCGACTTTCCATCAAGCTCCCTGGTTGTGGCCAGGGAAAGCAGTTGAGGACAGCCCAAAGTCTTGGGACCCTGCTCCTGCTTGAGAGAACCATATGAAGCTCCTGGCTTCGGATTAGCTCAGTTGCATCTGTTGTGATCTCTTGGGGAGTGAATAATCGGATGGAAGATCTACCTCTCTGTATATTTGACTTTGTAATAAAAATAAATAAATCTTAAAAAAAAAAAAAAAACTCCTGGTCTCAGAAGGCCTCTTTCATGGGGTCACCCCAGCACTTGGAAAGGGTGATTGGAAGTGTTGTGGAATCTATCACATGACCAGAGCAGCTAGCCACATTGCCCTCTTTGTATCTTACAGTTCCATGCCTCTTTCTGGGGCTATTTGTATTGTTTCGATTCCAGGTGGGCGACATCACTGGGGATATCTACACATTTACGTTACCTGACTTAACCCAGATTTCTAAAGTTAAAGCATTTCAATTCAGAGTCGACGTTTTGCTCTGCTCTCCGCACAAGCAGTGGATGTTTGCGTGTGGGCTACAGCAACATACCTTCTCAAGGGTAGGTGGTGCTCTGTGACATCCAATTTAGGACAGGAGGGGAAGCCTTGTGGCAGGTCAAGGTAGGATACCTTGTAGAAAAGGCCACAATCCCAGTCCCTGCCCGCACCCTTCAACATGGTCGCAAGTTGAAACCATTTCCTGAAGTCAGGAATAGTGCAAGAAGTAATGCTGTCCAGTTTCAATGGCAGATGTTTATTAATAAAAATATGTTCATGAAGCTTGAATCAGAGACCAAAGGAAGATGAGATATGTTTTTTTTTTAAGAAGGTGAGAATATCTTTGTTTAATTTTATTTGATCCATTTTGGCTGGAAATTACAAGGGAACTTAAACTCACATCCTCCTGCCCAAAAAAAAGTGTATTAGGAAAGAGTTATGCATAGATTTCAAAAATCTCTTGCACCAAATTAAGCTGATGTTTGAATTCCATCTCCCATAAACTTTCTAAAGTTCTCTGTACCTTGGTACAAAAGAGACCAAAGGTGGCAGGCCCTGAGTGTCTCTCTGGGGAAGGCTCACTAGTGGCTTGGCATCAGCAGATACGGAGCTCTAGGATGGGGAATCTCTGAAGGCAGAACAGCCTTTGACCAAGCTCTACCTGCCCAGGGACCAGGAGGGTGAGATCATGCCTCAGGGACTCTGTTCTGTCTGAGACACAGCTGGAAGGAGAGAGAGACCCCAGAGTGCCAATCGGAGACCCCTCAGCCCTTCCTGAGAGGCCTAGGCTGCAAGGCAGGAGAGGGCTGGCCATGGCTGTTTGGAGTGGCTTAATGACTTGCACCATTCTTGGTCCTCAGGTCTTTCTTATGGAGAGCTTGCTGAACATATCACCAGACCTTTGTGCGTCTTTCTCTCTCCCATTTTTATCATGCATCCAGGCCAAATGGATCCCCAATAGAGATAGCAAGATAGTACTGATGTACCAACGTATCCCCAAGAAGATAGGGTTGATGACCCTGAGCCTCACAACCAAGAAGATTGGGAAAAAAACCAACGTAGAAGGTAGGTTCTGTCACAGGAGCACCTGCTGTTTTCCCTACACACGGGCATGTGGAGCTGTCTACCTATCTGAATCCAAGGAAGGGAGCAAATGTGAACATGGCTTCTGTGTTCTACCCTGCTCTCCTGGGCAGGTGTGTGTAGGTTTGCATTTTTGTCTTAGGGCCCAGGTCTCCATGCCCCTTCCTACTCAGGCCTCCTCTCAACATGCGAGCTGTTTTCCTTGGCTTCTGCCTTTGTGTTGTCCCACATGTTGCCACGGTCAGTGGCACTTATCTGTCCACCACTGGACTGAAATCCCATGGAAGTAGGGAGCATGTTTCTCAACTTATTGTCTGGAGATTATTCAGATGAAATGATTCAAATTATGCCTGCTAGTATGAGAGAACTTTAAACAGTTTAGTGATAACTTCTGCATGTTGAAGAATAATCACAATTGTGTGTTCTATGTGAAAACAGCACGTGAGGTCGGGAATTTCCTGCTGCCAGATCACATAGATAGTTCTAACTGGATGGGAGTCAGTGAAGAAGAATTGATCGTCTTGGGCAGTGGGCCATACCTTTTCATCTTTACCACTAATGGCTTCCTCCTGCGTCAAGTGGATGACCACCTGACAGGCATCATGCACCTGAGGGTGGTATGTACCATCTTCTCTTCCCATGATCTTTGAGGTTTATTGCTTTTTCTTTTAAAGGAAAGTAGCATTTTCTTTTAAAGATTTATTTATTTTTTGGAAAGTCAGATATACAGAGAGGAGGAGAGACAGAGAGGAAGATTTCCCATCCGATGATTCACTCCCCAAGTGAGCGCAACGGCCAGTGCTATTCTGATCTGAAGCCAGGATCTAGGAACTTCTTCCGGGTCTCCCATGCAGATGTAGGGTCCGAAGACTTTGGGCCGTCCATCCTCAACTGCTTTCCTAGGCCACCAGCAGGGAGCTGGATGGGAAGTGGAACTGCCAGGGATTAGAACTGGGGACCATATGTGATCCCGGCGCGTGCAAGACGAGCACTTTAACCACTGTGCTATCTTGTCAGGCCCTAAAAAATTTTTTTTAAAGTCAGAGTTGCGGGGCCGGTGTGATGGCTCAATTGGTTAATCTACCTTCAAGTGCCAGCATCTCATTTAGATGCTGGTTGCTCTGCTTTTGATCCAGCTCCCTCCCTGCTTGTGGCTTGGGAAAGCAGCGAAGGATAGCCCAATGCCCTGGGATTGTGCACCCACATGGTAGACCTAGAAGAAGCTCCAGCTTCGGATCAGCTTGGCTCAGCCTTTGTGGCCAATTGAATCAGTGAATGGAAGGTCATTTTTCTTTTTCCTTCTCTCTGTAATCTGCCTTTCCAATAAAAAATGAATACATCTAAAAAAAGAAAATCAGAGTTCCAGAAAGATCTTCCATCTGTTGATTCACTCCCCAAATGTCTATAGCAGTCAAAGCTGGTTCAGGCTGAAGCCAGGAGCTTCATCTGTGTCTCCCACATGGATGGCAGAAGCCCAAGAACAAGCGCCATCTTACTCTGCTTTTCCAGGCCACTAACAGGGAGCTGGATTGGAAGTAGAGCGATAAGGACACAAACCAGAGCCCATGAAAGATGTTGGCATCATAAGCAGTAGTTTTACTGACAAGCTGTGCCACAACAACAGTCCCTGTTGGTTTATTTGAAAGGGAAAGACAGAGAGCTCTTATCCTGGGGTTCATTCCTCAGAAACTCACAGAGCTGGGGCTGGGCCAGAGCACAAGTGAACTGGAAACTCAAGCCACATCTCCACATGGGTGATAGGTATCCAAGTATATGAATCATCACTGCTGCCTCCCACGATGCGTAACAGCAGGAAGCCAGAACTGCAAGTGGAGCTGGGACTTAAATGTAGCAACTCCATAATAGGTTGTGGGTGTCCCAGGTGGCATCTCCACTGCTAGAGCAATGCCCAGTCTTCACCCACACTTTCATCTGACTTTGATCCATTGCTCACTCACCCCTTGGTGTCCTTTGAAGGATCATATCCGTGTCCTTGCTACAACTATGGATGGTACTCTGCACCTGTATGTTTGGGAAGAGGGAGGCCGCTATCCGTATCTCAAGAAGTGCTGTGAACTGAAATTTGTGAGCTCCAACTTCACCTTGGACCGGTAAGCCTTATGTCATACTCAAAGAAGTCCCTAACATCAGTCATTTCTAACCACCACATCCCCACAAAAAGAAGATAAGAGGGGTGTCTTTGATGTTGAGGATGCATGGAAATATCCTCAGGCTGGAGTTCTTGGGGAGTACATGTCTTACAATAGATATCAAAGTACTTTCCCAAGTGGCTGTCTTTATATAGTGTCAGAGCAGGACTGGAAAGCCCCCCTCTTGCTGTGCTTTTGGTTGGTTTGTATGCCAGATGTTCTGTGTGGGAAGCTCGGTGTGCTCAGTGTGGCAGTGTGGACATGCTTAGGGGGCAGGACCTAGGGGAGGTGATTAGATCTCGGGTTTTCGCCCTCGTGAGTGGTTGAATCGTGGAATAAGTTTCTGTCACAGGGAGTTGTAAAAGATCCAGACCAACCCCTGTCCAGGATCGTGCTTTCTCACTTTCATGTGCTTGTGCTCTACCAATCGGACAGTTCCCACAATGCACTCCCAAAATGCCTTCTGGGGCTGGGCCAGACCAAAACAGGGGCATAGAACTCAATCCAGGCCTCCTACCTGGTGGCAAGGACACCTCATAGAAAGGAGATCTTGAGGTGTCTCTGTGTGCCTGGCTTATCGTCACTTCACACAGTATCCTCAGGTTTATCTGTGCTGCTGCAAATAACTAGATGCTCCCTCCCGCTTTTTAAAAATTTCCATTGTGTATATAGGCCATGTTTTCTTCACCCAATTTTTTTCTGTTGATGGATGCTTAAGGTTGCTTTATTCTCTATCTTGGATATTGGGCATAATGATGCAAGAATAGAAAAATACTGATATCTTTTTAACAAATGGATCTGAGATTTTTTTTTTTTAAGTCAGATATACAGAGAGGAGGAGAGACAGAGAGGAAGATGTTCCATCCAATGATTCACTCCCCAAGTGAGTGCAATGGCCGGTACTGTGCCGATTTGAAGCCGGGAACCAGGAACCTCTTCCAGGTCTCCCATGCAGGTGCAGGGTCCCAAAGCTTTGGGCCGTCCTCAACTGCTTTCCCAGGCCACAAGCAGGGAGCTGGATGGGAAGTGAGACCACCAGGATTAGAACTGGTGCCCATATATGATCCTGGCACATTCAAGGTGAGGACTTGAGCCACTAGGCCACGCCGCTGGGCCTGGATCTGAGATTTTATATCCAAAAAATTTGAGTAGTGAGATTGCTGAGGATACAGGGATTCTGTTTGCAGTTTCTTTCTTTCTTTCTTTCTTTCTTTCTTTCTTTCTTTCTTTCTTTCTTTCTTTCTTTCTTTCTTTCTTTCTTTCTTTCTTTCTTTTTTTCTTTTCTTTTTAAGGAACTTTCCTAATGGCTATATCATTTTCTTTTTTTTTTTTCCCCATGTGGATGCTTGGGCCCCTGCATCCACATGGGAGACTTGGTAGATGCTCCTGTCCCTGAACTTGGTCTATCCCAACCGTGGTTGTTGCAGACATTTGGGGAATGAACCAGCAGATGGAGGATCTCTTGTATCTGTCTTTTCTTTATTTTTATTGGAAAGTCAGATTTACAGAGAGAGGGAGACCCAAAGACCTTCCATCTGCTGGTTCAGTCCTCGGTTGGCCACAACAGCTGGTGCTGAGCCAATCTGAAGCCAGGAGTCAGGAGCTTCTTCTGGGTCTCTTTCATGGGAACAGGGTCCCAAAGCTTTTGGCGGTCCTCAAGTACTTTCCCAGGCCACAAGCAGAGAGCTTGATGGGAAGTGGGGATGCCGGGATTAGAACCAACACCCATGTGGGATCCTGGCATGTTCAAGGTGAGGACTTTGGCTGCTACACTATTGTGCCGGGCCCCTTATCTATTTTTGTTACCTGTGCTTTTGGGGTCAAGCCCCGCAAAAATCATTGCCCAGTTCAGTGTTGTGGAGGTTCTCTCTTTTGCCCTGGTAGCTCTGTAGCTTCAGGTTTTAACACACGTCTCTAACACATGTTTTTAACTCCTGGATATGGTGGAAGATAAGGGTTCAGTTTGTTCTTTCTCATGTCAATGCCCAATTTCCTCAACACTGCCAACCAAGAGACTATTCTTTCTCCATTGTCTATTCATGGTATTTTTTATGAAAAATCACTTGCCTATAAATGTGTGCATTTACTTCTAGGATATTCTAATTCATTGGTTGCTAGGTCTGGTTTTTATGCCAGTGCTATGCTATTTTAATAACCATAGCCTTGTAATAGTTACACAAGATAGGATTTCACGCTTTTCATAATACAGATAGAGAAGTGTAGGATTCCTCCCTCCGTTTCTCCTTCCCCATTTCCCTCCCTCACCACACATACCCTATTTTTTCCCCACATTATTACAATAGCTTATTCATTCACTTCCATTGTCACAAGCTTAACATTTGCAATATGTTTGGAAAATGGGTATTGTGATCTCTTCAACTTTATTCTTTTTCAAGACTGTCAGGACTATTGGGAATTTTTGCTTGTTGCATATTAGAGTATTTTCTATTTTTCTTACAAATGCCTTAAAATAGAATCTGTAGACTTCTTTTGATGGTTTGGATATGTTAACAATATTCACTCCAGGAGTATGGGTATTCTTCCATTTGTCTACTTTGATTTTATCAGTTTTATATTTCTCAATGTACATATCTTTCATCTCTTTGATTAAACTTATCCCTGACTATTCCTTGGGCTATTGTCAGTGAGATTTTTTAAAAAGACTTTTTAAAAGGTTTCAAATGCAAAGTTAGAAGTGACAGAGATAGGAAACCCCTGTCCGCTGGCTTACTCCCCAGTTGGCCGCAGTAGCCAGAGCTGGGCCAGTCCTGAGCCAGGAGCTTCTTCCAGATCTCTCATGTGGATGCAGGGGCTAAGAACACGGGACATCTTTCTGCTACATTCCCAGGCACATAGCCGAGAGCTGGATAGGAAATGGAGCATCTGGGACTCAAACCAGTGTCCATATGGGAATACTGGCTTTGCAGGCAGAGGCCTAACCTGATATACAACACCAGCCCTTCAATATTTTTTTTATCTTTTAAAGTCAATCAGTATACTAAAAGAAAGAGGGGCCAACATTGTGATATATCAGGTTAAACTTCTGCCTGCAATACTGACTTGGATCCTGGCAGGTTCACTTCCAATCCAGCTCCCGACTAGTGTGCCCAGCAAAGCAGCAGCAAATGGCCCAAGTGCCTGGGCCCCTGCATCCACATGGGAGACTTGGTAGATGCTCCTGTCCCTGAACTTGGTCTATCCCAACCGTGGTTGTTGCAGACATTTGGGGATGAACCAGCAGATGGAGGATCTCTTGTATCTGCCTTTCCTTCTCTTTAACTCAAACTTTTTTTTTTTTACTTTTTAAAAAAGATTGATTTATTTAACAGAGCTACAGAAAGAGTCAGACTTGAAGATCTTCCATACACTTCCTGGTATAGCTGGGACTATACCAGGCCAAAGCCAGGAGCTTCATCCAGGTTTCCCACATGGGAACCAAGAGCCCAGACACCTAGGCCATCCTCTGCTGCTTTTCTTAGGTGCATTATTGTAGAGCTGGATCAGAATGAACAGCAGTTAGGACATGAACAGCGTCCACATGGATTGTCAGCATTGCAGATGGCTGCTTAATACACAGTGCTGGCCTGTACTGGTTGACTTCTGAATATCAAGCCAGATTTGAATTCCTGTGATAAAGACACCATTGCCACTGTGCTGGGTCCTTGTTTTGTTTTTTTTTTTTTTAATGGTTAAAATGAATTTCGTGTACACCGCAAGTAGTTCATGATTTTTATCTACCATGACAATTTTTTTGGTTTTGTTTTCATCAACCAATAATTGCATATATTGTTCAGCATGATATGATGTCCGTTTTATGTATTCTGTGGAACAACCAGGTCAGGGCAATGTGTTCATTACCTCAAATATTCATCTCTTTCTTCATGGTGAGAATATTTTTTTTCGCTTTTTTTGAAATACACTATGTGCTGTTTTTTAAACGTAGCCACTATGCTGTGAAATAAGTCACTGAGATGCCTTCCCCCAAATGTCTCTTCCCTTTGACCAATCTTTCTGCTTTCCCCACCTTCCCCACTCCTCAGAGTCCAGCTTTTTGAAAACCTACATAAAGGTCAGGGTACATGGGCCCGGAGCGGTGGCGCAAGTGGTTGAGTCCTCGCCTTGCACGCCCGGGATCCCATATGGGCGCCGGTTCTAATCCCGGCAGCCCCGCTTCCCTTCCAGCTCCCTGCCTGTGGCCCGGGAAAGCAGTTGAGGACGGCCCAAAGCTTTGGGAACCTGCACCCGCGTGGGAGACCCGGAAGAGGCTCCTGGCTTCGGATCGGCATAGTATCGGCCCGTTGCGCTCACTTGGGGAGTGAATCATCGGATGGAAGATCTTCCTCTCTGTCTCTCCTCTCTGTATATCCGCCTTTCCAATGAAAAAAATAATAAAAATAAATCTTAAAAAAAAAAAAAAGGTCAGGGTACTGTCTGCCTCTACCTGGCTTATTACCTGGCTTGATGTCTTCTAGGACCATCCATGTCCTCACAAATGACAGAATGTCCTGCTTTTTAAGGATGCCTACTTTTGCACTGTGTCTTTAAAAAAAATGGTTCATTTTATTGGAAAGGAACATTGACAGAGAAGGAGCAACAGAAAGCTATTTTCCTCATGTGATTTATTCCGCTACTGGCCACAACAGCTCTAGCTGAGCTGATCCCATAAGGGATGCCTGGTGCTTCAAGACGAAAGATAAAATGAAGGCATCATTTGGCCCCTCCATTGTGTCTTTTTGCTAGATGTTAAAGATCCACCACTCAGCCACGTGGCACTTAAGGTTGGCTCCATGGCTTGGTGGCTGTGAATAACGCCAAGATGAACATAGTCCTGCAGATAGCTCAGGTCTGTTGGTTTACATAACCACAAGGGGATCGTTGGGTTACATTGCAAATCTGTTCAGCTTTTTAAGGCACTGCCATTATTACCTTGGAGTGGCTGAACTAATTTATAACACTATGAACTATGAACATGTTTTGCCTTTTGTTTTTCATTTCCTCACCAACCATTGTAATTGTTCATATTTAATTTTTTAAAAATGTATTTTTGAGACAGAGCTCTCATTTTCTGGCTGTTTCCCCATATGCCTACTGGGACTTAGCCAGGCCAAAGCAAGGAATTAGGGCCGGGCAGCATGGCCTAGCGGCTAAAGTCCTCACCTTGAAACCGCCAGGATCCCATATGGGTGCCGGTTCTAGTCCCAGCAGCTCCACTTCCCATCCAGCTCCCTGCTTGTGGACTGGGAAAGTAGTTGAGGACGGCCCAAAGCTTTGGGACCCTGCACCCGTGTGGGAAACCTGGAGGAGGTTCCTGGCTCCTGGCTCCAGATTGGCGCAGTACCGGCCATTGCGTTCACTTGGGGAGTGAATCATTGGATGAAAGATCTTCCTCTCTATTTCTATCTCTCCTCCTCTCTGTATATCTGACTTTGTAATAAAAATTAATAAATCTTAAAAAGAAAAAAAAAAAAGCAAGGAATTAGAAACTTCCTCTGCCACTGAGAAGGCTCAACCACTTGAGTCATCTCCTATAGCTCCTCAAGGGACACATTATCAGGAAGGTGGATTGGAAGCAGGAAGGCCGGGATTCAAATCAGGCACTTAAAAATGGGGTGCCTGTGTCCCACATGGAGTTGTAACCATTAGTCTGAATAGCTACTATTCTTTCATCTTTTGAGTGTGAGGTATTAATGTACCATAGAGTTTTTTTTTTTTTTATTTAAAAGAGTATAGGGCTAGGCACAGTAGCATAGTGTCTTGCATGCACCAGGATTCCATATGGGCACTGGTTCATATCCCAGCTGCTCCACTTCCTACCCAGCTCCCTGCTTGTGGCCTGGGAAAACACTGAAGGATGGTCTAAAGCCTTGGGACTCTGTAGTCACATGGGAGACCCAGAAGAAGCTCCTGGCTCCTGGGTTTGCATCAGCTCAGCTCTGGCCATTGCGGCCACTTGAGGAGTGACCCAGCAGATGGAAGATCCTTTTATGTGTCTTGCCTTCTCTCCGTAAATATGACTTTCCAGTAAAAATATTTTTTAAAATGAGAGAGCGTTAAGGGCTCTCATTTGCTAGTTCATCTCCCACTGCCTGTAATAGGAGTCCAAAGGTGGGATCAAGGAACTCAGTATAGGGTCTCCTTTGTTAGGCATCACAGCTAGGGATTGAGCCTAGGTACCTGGACATGGGTCGTGGGTGTCCTGACCAGCAGGCTGAATACCTGCTTCCCGCTATGGTTTTTTTTTTATATATATATATATAAAGATTTATTTATTTTTATTGTAAAGTCAAATAGAGAGGAGGAGAGACAGAGAGGAAGATCTTCCATCCAATGATTCACTCCCCAAAAGACCGCAATGGCCGGTGCTACACTGATCCAAAGCCAGGATCCAGAAACTTCCTCCAGGTCTCCCACACGGGTGCAGGGTCCCAAGGCTTTGGACTGTCCTTGACTGCTTTCCCAGTCCACAAGCAGGGAGCTGGATGGGAAGAGGAGCTGCCAGGATTAGAACCAGTGCCCATATGGGATCCTGGCACGTTCAAGGTGAGGACTTTAGCGCCAGGCCTCTGTTATGGTTTTAATACTCATTTTTCTGATGTGAAATGCTGAGCATTTTTTTATACATCTAGTAGTAATTTTTATTTCTCTTTTTTTAAAGATTTATTGTTATTACAAAGTCAGATACATAGAGAGGAGGAGAGATAGAGATGAAGTGGAGCTGCTGGGATTAGAACCAGCGACCATATGGGATCCTGGCGGTTTCAAGGCGAGGACTTTAGCCACTAGGCCACGCCACCAGGCCCAGTAATTTTTATTTCTTAGCAAATGCCCTAAGTAGAAGCCTCTATCTTTTTTTCATGGTAATTTGTTGGTTTTGAGTAACCAGATTTCCTTGCATATTTTGAATATTAGCCCCGTATCTGGCATATGAATTGTAAAATTTTCTACTAATCTGATGATGGTTTCTTTGTTTTATTTGCTGTGAAGAAACTTGTTTGTTTGATATAATCCTATTTATTTTTGCTTTTGTTTCTTGTGCTTTTGGAATCTGATCTTAAAAAACTACTGCCAAGTAGATGTCCTGGAGCTTTCTCCCTATATTTCATTCTGGTAGTTTTGCAGTTTCAGGTCTCATGTTTAAGTGTTTAATCCATTTTAAGTTGAGTCTTACATAAGGAGTAAGAAAAGGATCTTATTTTCATTCTTCTGCATGTGAATATCCAGTTTTCCCAAGACTGTTAAAGAGATTGTCTTTTCTCTGTCAAAATCATTGGACCATAAATCATTGGACCATTTTGATTTCTGTCAAAATCATTGGACCATAAACCTCTGGGCTTTCAATCCTATTCCAGTGGGCATTATGTCTTTCATGCCAGTAGAATGCTCTTCTGATTACTGTAGCTTTCTAATAGGCTTTTTTTTTTTTTTTTTTTTTTTACGATTTTTGTATTAGAAAGTCAAATATACATAGAGGAAGATCTTACATCTGATTGATTCCCCAAGTGGCCCCAACGGCCAGAGCTGAGCTGATCCAAAGCCAGGAGACTCTTCCGGGTCTCCCACTTGGGTGTAGGGTCCCAAGGCTTTGGGCCATCCTCAGCTGCTCCCAGGACACAAGCAGGGAGCTAGATGGGAAGTGGAACTGTTGGGTACACAAACCAGCACCCATATGGATCCCAGTGCATGCTGGGAGGACGCACTGGAGAGGACTGTAGCCACTAGGTTACCACACTGGGTCCTTCTAATAAGTTTTGAAATCTGAGATTGCGATGCTCCCAGCTTGGTTCTATTTGCCCAAGATGGCTTTGATTAGTTGCCATCCTTCTAATCACTTTCAGTATTTGAAAAGCATGCCACTTCCCTCTGGCTTCCATGATGTGGGATTAGAAATCCCTCATTATTCAGACCTGTTCTTTGTAGAGGATGTGCCGTTCTCTGTAGCCGATTTCTAGTTATTTTGCCATTAGTTTTTGGAAGTCTTATAATATGTCTGGTTTGAATACTAGTTTAACCTGTTCAAGTTTAGTCATCTTGAATCTGTAGATTTACCAATTTCAGGTCATTTTCTGCTGTTACTTGTCTGTGCATGGCTGATGGAGCAAGAGATCCCATGCCTATTTACCTTAGTGCAGGGGAAGACCTGACACATAGGGGGCTTTCTCTTGGCATTCACAGAGCAGGAGGGAAGTAGGTGCCACCTGTGCTCCAGGTGACACAAGGCAGGGATGGGCAACGGGGCTCTGTTCTTCCCTGTTTGAGTCCCTGGTGGAGAGGAAGTGGAGGTGCCACTTCATTAATGCAGAATTGGAAGGTTGCCAGGGCACTGTCCTGCCATCTCCACATTACTCAAAGGGGAGAAAATTTTGGTTTGTTTTATAATACTCACTTGGATAGACTGGATATTGTCAAAAAGCAGGATTTGATGCTAAAATAAAAATCCTCCCTCTCATCATTGTGGAACCAGATAATCTGCCAAATGTGATTTTTTGGGATTCTGGCAGAAAATTCATAGCAGTTAGGGGTGCTATTTCTGCAAGGTTTAGCCTCTAAAGTTTTCAGCAACAAAACAGGAAAATTGTTACAGGACCAATTCCAGAGTCGTAATTCTAAGATTGGTATATTTGAAAGACAGAATTACGGGTAGTAGGGGAAAACAGATGTTCCATTCATTCACTCGCTCCCACATGGCCACAACAGCCAGAGCTAGGCCTGTCCAGAGCCAAGAGCAGGAGCTTTTTCTGTGTCTCCCCCATGGACACAGGAGCCTAAGCACTTGGGCTACCCTCTGCTGCTTTCCCAGGCTTGTTACCCAGAGATGGTTTGGGAGTGCCTATGGGATGATGATGTTACAGGCAGTGGCCAAACTTGTTATGCTACAAATGGATCTATCAGTTTCCAATTTAATGACAATGGATATGCTAACTTCTCCTTTGTGCAATGACAATGTTTTTTTTCTGTTGGCAGCTATTTCTACGATGTAATATGTGATAATGACAGCATAGTACGTGTGGTGTCATCAGAAACTACTGGCTTCAGCATCCTGATGTTGTACACTTTGAAAACAAGTCTACAAAGCTAATGAGATTAACCTGTATTATCTCAATGTAGTAAAAAAAAGCCTAAATGCAAGCCAGAATGTTTTTTTTTTTAAAGATTTATTTATTTATTGGAAAGTCAGATATACAGAGAGGAGGAGAGATAGAGAGGAAGATCTTCCGCCCGATGATTCACTCCCCAAGTAAGCGCAACAGCCGATGCTATGCCGATCCGAAGCCAGGAGCCAGGAGCCTCCTCTGGGTATCCCACACGGGTGCAGGGTCCCAAAGCTTTGGGTCATCCTCGACTGCCTTTCCCAGACCACAAGCAGGGAGCTGGGTGGGAAGTGGAGCTGCAGAGATTAGAACCGGCACCTATATGGGATCCCGTCGCGTTCAAGGCGAGGACTTTAGCCACTAAGCCACACTGCCGGGCCCAGAATGTTTATTTTAGTGGCATTAAGTGGCGATTTAACTTTCTGATATGAATCAGGCACTGTGACAGATTCTGCGGACAGACACTGTACAGAATGTGGAGTTAACATAATTTTGTTATGACCATCCAGGTGAATACAGAACACCAAGACTAAACTAGGAATGGTCACGTGAATACATTTTACAAGGAGAATTTAGGTGTGGTTGGAGACTTTAGATTGGGAATGAATATTGAGCCTGGCTTAAAAGTGAAGGCATTTTTCTTTTTACAATTTGGCATTCTTGTCTATAAGCATCCAAATATAAATTCTATACAATTTAAGCAAAAGGGGATGTATTAGAAAGACACAAGGGCTAATAATTAAAGGGGGCTAGGAGAGACTCAGAATATAAATGGGAAATTCCAAATGCTCAACAGGAGTAAGAAGTGCAAAATCTATGACAAGTGAAATCATAATGGGAGCTGTGCAGTGGTGTACACCTGGGCACTTTTGCACTTTGTGGCAGGCTTACAGGGAGCCTGGGGATGACGCCAGTGTGGGAGTGTGGGGCCCTGGGGGCTCAAGCCCAGGCAGGCAAGCGTGGGAATTTCCTCATGTGTTTGGTCCTAGGCCTTGTTGAGGGAGGGGAGAGCCCAACGTTAGTGTGCTGGCCTGGTGTGCTGGTGGGTTAGGCTTGGGGAACTTTGAATAGGCCTGGATCTCGGGTGTGTGGAGGGGTAAGATCCCAGGTCAGCACATGTGCCTGGAGCTTAGGACCCAAGTGGGCGGGCAGAGCTCGAGGCCAGCACAGCACTCTACTAAAAGGCTGGGTTGGAGAACCCATGTGCTCCTGGGCGGAGGGAATGTGAATTGATCAAGGAAGAGGGTAAGGAGATGAGTGGGAGAGAGGACCAATGAGGGACTATTTTGCAAGTGAGGAATGACTTCTGAGGGACTTAAACCAACAAGATCACTATACTTACAGATAAGCAATGGGGCTGAGACTAAGTGGTTTGGAGGGGGAAACTAGAGGATTTTTAAGGGTCAGATCGATGCATCAGCCCATTTGGGAGACATGAGCCAGGCTAGTTAGCAATGACCACTCCTGACCACACTAGCACACACTAAAGCTAGGGCTGGGGGCCTACTTGACAGGGCTAGATCACAGTAACTGCCATTGAGAATCGGAACAAGGGATGGGTGATGTTAGGCTGGGCCATGATACTAACCAGCACGCAAGAGCGTCCGGTCTGGGGGCAGATTGTGTGGGTAATATTTGGGCTCACCCCTGGGAAACTGCAATTTCACTTAGTTTGCTTAAAATCTGAGGTGGTGCTGGGCTTAGCTAGGCATAACCATGGAACCCTCTAATACTCATGGGTACTGGGGTTGGATTAGGCCTGGCTGCAGCACTTACAGGTATACCCAAGAACAGTGTATGGGGTGGGCTGGGTCGCAACATCCACCAGCTCATAAAAGTTGAGTCAGAGGGGAACAGACTATGCCAGGTAAGGGCCTAGCACCCATTGGCACATGAGAACTGCATCTGGGAATAGGTGTGGAGTTGGGGGGAGCATGGAAAACTTCCCTAGTGGGACATGGCTTCCGCTGGTGAATATATGATTCAGGCCTGGATGTTGGTCAGACAGGGCCAAGTAGCTCTACCTGTCAGCTGTGAATTGGTTCTGGAGGTGGGTGGACCAGGCAGGGCAATGCCAAACCTCAGCCCACAAGCATGTGTAGGAGCCAGGAAGGAGTGTGGATCATACTGGGTTAGGTTATCACACCTGCAGGTTTGTGTGAACTAGGGATGGGAGTAGACTGGACAGGGCTGTAACACCTGCCAGCAAGAGTTGCAACTGGGGGCAGGCCAGGCCAGGCTAAAGCATCTGATAGCGAAGGCCAAGACAGGGGATGGGATATGCCAAGCTGGGTCAGAGCAGCTACTGGCATGCGCAAGATATATAGCTGGGAACAGGCCTGATTGGTGAGATCATTCTCTCTCAGGAGATAAGGAGATGCTCTGGCTGGGTTGTAGTTCCCACCAGTGAGCATAAGAGCCAGAGTAGAGACAGCAGTCTGGTGGAACATGGCTGCAATGTCCCTTGGCATGGGTGTGAACTGGGTCTGGGGTTTGCCAGATTGGGCTAGACTTAAGCACCCACTGGTGCTCGTGAAAGCTGGGGTGGGTGTAGGATGGGCTGTGTTAGGTCTTGGCACCCACTGAACCATGCGAGAGTTGTGGCTGAACTATAGCACCCAAGTAAGTACCAGAATGGATGCAGACCTGTTGGGCAAGGCCACTGTTCCTGCCAGAACAGTAGTTGGACTAGGTGAATCTGAGCCAAGGACCCACTGGTGTGTATGGGATCTGCCACTGGGAGGAAACCTGATAGAGGAGCTTGGGGAACTCCTCCACCAGTACATACTCCCTGCAGATGAGTCCAAGAACCAAGGCTGGGGGCCTGGTATGGTTGCGTAGTGGCCAAGGTCCTCACTTTGCATCTGCTGGGATTCTATATGGGTGCCAGTTCATGTTCTGGATGCTCCACTTCCCATCCAGCTCTCTGCTTGTGGCCTGGGAAAGCAGCAGAGAATGACCCAAAGCCTTGGGACCTTGAACTCACTTGGGAGACCAAGAAAACTCTGTAGGCTCCTGACTTTGGATCAACTCCACTCCTGCCATTGCAGCCACTTAGGGAGTGAGCGGCAGATGAAAGGTCTTTTTCTCTGTCTCTCATTCTCTCTGTAAATCTGGCTTTCTAAAAAAAATCCTTTAAGCAATATATTAGGAAAGAAAATCAAGGCTGGGAGCAACCCAGACCAGGCCAAGTTACAGTACCTGCCAGTGTATATGTGGGTTAGGTCTAGGGTTGGGCCAGACTGGGCCAATTCATAATTGGGTACACTGGCAAATCTGAGAACCAGGATGGGATACAGGACAGGCTGGGTCAGACAACACCACCAGCCAATTCACATTAGTTCTGGGACTGGGGGATGGCTGGGCTAGGCTAGGCTATAGCATATGCCAACATGAGCTGGAACTAAGGGCAGACTGGGATGGACAAGGCTACAGCAACCACCAACAAGTGCTAAGGTGAGGTGGGCCATGGCAGACTGGGCCACTGCACCTTCCAGCACATGTGAGACTCAGAAGGAGGGGTACAGCCTGGTAGGGGAGAAACACAAGCTCCCTGCTGGGCCACTGCTCCCCCTGGTGTGAACTGGGATCAGCAGCAGACCAGGCTGCGCAGAACTACCACACCTGTTGGCCTACATGTGAACTGGGTTAGGGGGAAAGCCAGGCTGGGCTAAACGTATCCACTGGTACATGTGTAAGTGTAGGGTGGCTGGGCTTTGCTGCAGCATCAGCTGGTAAGTGCTGAGACTGGGGGCAAATGCTGTCAAGCTAGACTGCAGAAACACCTGGAGAGTGTAAGATCCAAGACAGGGAGTGGGCCCAGTAGGGAAGTTATGGGCACCTCTCTAATGGGCTGCAACTCCCACTGGTGATCACAAGAAACAGGACTTATTGGAAAGGCGGATATACAGAGAGGAGAGACAGGAACCTGGAGCTTCTTCTAGTTCTTCCATATAGATACAGGGTCCCAAGGGTTTGGGCTGTCCTTAACTGCTTTTTCAGGCCACAAGTAGGGAGCTAGAAGGTTAATGGAGCAGCTGGGACACAAACGGGTACCTATACTGGTGGGGTTCGGGCTTGTGCAAGGCAAGGATTTAGCCACTAAGCCATTGTGCTGGGCTCAAAAAAAAAATAATCAATTGATACATACATATCAATACAGAAGTTGCTGAAAGTTCTTTGACTAGAGCGGACCACACCCCAGATTCTTTTAGGAGCCACTGGTGGTGATGAGAAACAAAAGGGGCTTCGTGTGCAGAGAACACAGCCAGGAGAGCACACCAACCAGGAACACACCAGCAAGACTGACCCAACTCAATGATTAGTGTTCTACTCAGGAATCATGGCCAAGACCCAATGGCTCAGCCATCTCGGGGATGGAACCTCCATTTTGGGCCATGGCAGTTACAATTCCCCATCTCATGTCAACAGGATTTTGTGATGGCAGTGCTCTGTGAGGGACTCAGACCTCGTTCAGTACACACCTGGTCCAGGAGCACATGCTCCCCCGGAGCCCTCATCTATGCCCTTTCAGGCCTGTCTTAAGGCCTGTTCTGGAACAGGTGGTGCTGACCAAGGCTGCATCCCTCTCTGCCCTGAGTCACTCCCACCAGCATTTATTCTCCACCTGCCACACACAGGAGGCATAACCATGCGAGGACTAGGTGACTATCCTAGTGGCTCAGACACCCCCCTCCACATCAGGCTCCCTGGGTGTGGTCCACTCTTGCCAATGAAAGATCAGATCCCAGCTCTGGCTCTTGGCTCTGAAGCTCCCTGGGAGGCAGCTGTGATATAATTGGGCCCTGTCACCCACATGGTAGATCACGTGGGGGTTCCCAGCCTCGGCTGAGAAACAATGAAAACCTGGAAGCACCAACTGCTGGTCACCCTGTCCCTGACCATGCTCCCCACCGTCAGCGGAAGCAGGGAAGAAGCAGACCTGAAAACCAGTGCAGAGCATGGCAGCTGACCAACAATGACAGTA